CCTAGAAAACTTTTTATTTCTTTTTCTGTTTTAGGTAATTTAAATTCCTTGACTGCTCTTATTTTATCTGGATTAGGTTCTATTCCTTTTTCGCTTATTATATGGCCCAAAAACAATAGTTCTCTTTTACAAAATTCCGTTTTGTCAAGTTGGATTTTAAGATTATGTGTTTTCAATTTTTCTAAAACAGATTTTAGGTGTTTTAAGTGGTCGTTGAAGGTTTCAGAAAATATAATAATGTCATCCATGTATACCAATACATGTGGCATATCCGAAAATATAATATTCATCGCCCTTTGGAATGTTGCAGGGGCGTTACATAACCCAAATGGCATTCTTAAGAATTCGAAATGTCCTTGGTCAGTACTGAATGCAGTTTTATGAACTGAATCCTTATCAACCTTAATTTGATGAAAACCAGAGCAAAGATCCATTGCTGTAAAAATAGTGGCTTTACCTAATTTTCCGAGTAAGTCTTCAATATTCGGCAGGGGGTATCGGTCTGGGATCGTTTGACTGTTGAGTTTTCTGTAATCGATCACCATTCTTATTTTCTTCTGCCCTGATGCATCGGCTTTTTTAGGAACTACCCAAACGGGTGAATTATAGGGTGAGTTACTGGGAGTAATTATTTTGTTTTCTAGCATTTTATTTATTTCTTCTCTTATTTGTTCCCTGAATTGCTGCGGGTATCTATAATTTCTAGAATAAATTGGATCATCCGTTTTGGTTTTTATTTGGTGTTCCACTAGATCCGTCGCTGATAATGCATCTTTTTCTGTTTTAAATATGGCAGGATATTGTTCCAACAGTTTTAATAATTCAGACCTATGTTGCGGAGGAATATGTTCAACTCTAACCAGCTCGTTTATATTTTTGTCTTCCTTATCTATTGGTGGGTTCACTATTTCCACTTCTTGGAAATGCATTAGAGGCAATTTGACTGTTCCGCTTTTATCACTAATAATTTTTATTTTATCCCTATATATTCCTGGGGGTATTTCCAGTCCGTCCGTTTTATAATCTATATAAAAATTTTTTCCTTTAGGTATTTCTGCTATATTTTCTCCTTTCTTGAGTTCAATCGGGAGGGAGTCCCTATTCAATATGAAGTTAAATTCACTATAGTCTGATTTAATGTGTCTATTTTCAAAATCTATTTTAAAGTTAAGGTCATCCATGAGTTCGGAACCAATCAGAACGTCATGGTTTGGACTAAAATTTAGTAAATAAAATTTAACTTTAGTGGGACATTTTAAAAACGTGTTTTTGATTTCGGTGGTGATAGTTTCTGTTCCCCTTTCTTCTCCTGCGGCAGTTAACACGATGAAATTTTCATTTTCTCTTTTGACTCCTGCAGGTACTATTTTTGGATTTATATAGTTTTTTTGTGCTCCTGTGTCGAGTAGCCATTTACGGTCCTTTTTGTCAATTACATAAGGCAATTTATGGAAATTATTTGTCTGGAGTTCCTGAATTTCTATGTTTTGAAATTCCGATCTAGGTCGTCCTCTAAAAAATGATCTTCTGTTGTATTTGCGGTGAGCCTCTCTAATCGTTCACGAAGTTCTCTTATTTCTTTATCTCTCGGGTCTTCTTCTTCCACTTTATATACTGGGTGTCTTGAGTTGTTTTTCTGAAAACCGCTCACGGTACGCATTGAGACTGTGTTTGATGGTTCACCTTTCTCTGCGGGCTTATTATTTTTAGATTGTCCAGAGCCTCGAAAATACCTTCTTTGGTCTTCGGGCTTCCACTGCTCTTTGTGAGGTTGGTAGTCTCTCCTTTCATGATGATTATTTTGATTACTGTTATGGTGATCTTGGTGGTAATCTCTCCTTTCATGGTGGTTATTTTGATTACTGTTATGGTAATCTTGGTGATAATCTCTCCTAGGGGAGTGTCGACGCTCATCATTTCTTGATCCGTAGAAATTTGGTTGGTGATAGTTTTTATTATGATGTCTTTTATCATGTCTCTTATCATAACCTCTTCTGTTTTCTTCCTGAGCTTCCCCGGGCTTCCTCATATTCCCAGAATTGATCAAATCTTCAAATAGAAGGTGATTTTCATTTTGTATGAGATTCCGTAGGTCATCAAGAGTTTTTAGACCGGCTTTAGTCATCAAATATGTCCTAATATGTAGAGGCATATTTGTGAAAAAGTGGTATAATATATTTTTCTCTAAAGCGGATACTATAGTTGCTCTTTCCGGAGTGTTCTGAATTCGGTATTTGGAAATGATTAGTGTTCGACTTCTGTCTAATCGTTGAAGGAAATCTAGAGGGTGTTCTTTATGACGAATTCTTAAATTGAAGAGTTCAAATGTTAGTTGTTCAATAGAACGAGAATCCCTAAAAGTATTTTCTAAATATTGTAGAAGTTCAGTGACCCCAGTGAATTCACACGTCGTATTAATGTAGTCAGCGTCTCCTGTAAGTCTAGCTAGGATTTTACTGAGTAAGCGTTGGTCATTCAGTTCGCGGAGGTTGTTATCGGGTTTGCAGACTATATTGTAAACCTGTCGGCAAACGGTTACAAATTTAAGCAAATTATGTGGATCCCCATTGAATGCTGGAATATGGTCATAATCAGCGGATTTAATTGCAAAAGTGGTTGCCATTTCGTCTAAATTATTACAGTCGTTAATGCGAATAGATCTAATTTGTTCCAACCTTTCAGCTAATTTACTCATAAAATTGTTAGTACATATATGTTTATAACAATATAATAATATAAATGTTAATTTATATATATAAAAAAAATTATATAATTTAAATATTAATAAATCAGAAAATAATAAAATTTAAAAAAAATTTAATGAGTTTTGATGATTTCAAATAAAGTTGACTCACAATTTTCTTCCAAGAGTTTCGATGTCTGTCGGGGTGATCAGACGATTTCAGCTCAGCAGCAGGTCCTTCTTCAAGATCTAAGAGTCAGAGCGGGGTGCCAGCCTCTTACAGGTGTGATATCCTCGAAAGGTAGATCAAATCTTGATTTCTGGTACTGCAGAGTTCGAGTCTAGAACCGCGATGAAATATGCATGCGGTCCCTGTTCGGGCGCCAATTATGAAACTCAACCGTCGAAAAGTGAAAAAAAACTTTATTGAGAAAACAAATCAAACAATGAACATTATGACATGCTAAGTACTACTGATACAGATATCTTGCTTACTGACTAGCCTAGGATTTTATGGGGGTATATATAGGTAGAGGAGAGGGAGGCTGCTCAGAATGTCAAGTCAGCATAGTTCGTTTCCATAACTTTGTTATCTGGTTATTTTCTTAGCCCTGATGAAGGCCTGAACTTCAGGTCGAAACGTCGGCATATATAAAAAATAAATATTATCATTTATTTTTGCCTTCCTTCTTGACTGAACACCCCAACTATTCTTCTCTTCATTATCCACGACAGTCAACTAATTACCAATTATGTTTATATATTGTGTATGCTTGTTGACCAGTTTTCCTAGAGAAGATATCTTGTGGTTTTCACCTGTTCTTTTAATCATATTAAATTATTAAAATCTCTAGTTTTAGTACATAATTATCGTCAAAAACTCATAAGATGAGTTTTTTTTTTTAATAATAGATATTGCGATTTATCTGGTAGGTGAATTATTGTAAGCAAAATACTCAATAAATTTCTGTTCTCATTTTCCACATTTGACTTTTTGTTCTCATTCCTGAGGCTATCTATTCTTATTTACAATTATATGTTACAAATTTAACCGTAACTGCGAAAAATATGGCAACATCTAATTCTTTAAAAAAAAAGACCCGTCCATCCCGATACACTCCTAGCAACTTTCTTTGATGACACTGATATCCTATCTTCTAACTCAGATCCTAAAACAGCGTCTATAAACCTGCAACTGCATCTATCCCTGATTGAACTCTGGTGCAAGAAATGACGCATCAAAGTCAATGAATCCAAATGTAAACATATAACCTTTACCCTTCGTCGTAATTCATGTCCACCAGTTTACTTTAATTCCATCCAGCTTCCCTTCTCCGACACAGTCCGGTATCTTGGTTTTCCCCTAGGCAGACGACTAACGTGGACGACTTATCCGCATACTAGACTGAAAAGACAGGAACTTATCCGACGTTACGACCAGCTATATACACTACTCAATAGAAAATCTAAACATTCCATTGAAACAAACTACTCATCTACAAGACAATACTAAAACCCATCTGGACCTACGGACTAGACCTATGGGGGACAACCAAATTTTTTAACATCAAACGCATTCAATCCTTCCAGTCTATTGTCCTCCGTACAATAGTGAATACCCCCTTCTATGGCTACAATAAAATCCTGCACAATGACCTTAATATTCCATTTATTCTTGATCTTATCCCAAAAAAAATTCTCCAAATTTCATCAGAACCTTACCCATCACCCTAATCCCGTAGCACAGTCCCTATCTAGCACCACCCATCCCTACAATCCTCCTCACAGATTAAAACGGCAGTGGCCCCGTGACCTTTTGTAACATGTATGTATTCGAGTTTTGGCAATGGCCAGATTCTCCTCTCAAGTCATGAGTATTTGTGGTTGTAACGCCCTTACTCGGCCTCCGCTGGTTTTTAATACCAGTAAAGTGGTTGAGGGAGGAGCGCAGGGATCTACTGAAGCCTCGCTTTTTCCTCCACAAGTGGGGGAACAAGTCTGGTTTGGAGTTCCCATGACCGATTTTAAATAGGTATAGCTGCGTCTAAGATGTTATTTTAATTTTATTATTACTATTATTTATTTACTTATTTTATTTTCTATATTTCTTTTTCTGTCTTTTTCCTATTATTCTTTATTATTCTCAGTTACTATTTGTATGTACATATTTTGTGAATGATTCATATAGCCTTAATATTAATGCCCTTTAATGTGGCAGAATGTATTAATATTCAATAAAAAATAAATTAATAATATTGCGAAAATAGGAATGTAAGGTAATTGGCTAATTAAATAGAAAAAAGAGATGACAATCAACTTAAATAAGTAAAATAAATATGTATATTTTTTAATAATTTAACAAACAAAAACTAATTATTAGTGATAATGAATTTTAAGCACTAAGCACATTTACAATATTTACATAAATACTGGTTCCTTGTGGTTCTTAAAACTTTTCACTAGAATAATTATAGTTTTAATATCAGGGACTTCGTTCCACCTAACACCACTGATATTAAACACAAAAGTTTACTAGAGAAAATTATTGTTTTAAATAGCGCAGACATCCAATGCTTTATATTTTTTCTCATGCAAAAGCAGTTCTCTCAGGGACTGAGCTTCTTCCCTCAATGTTATAACTTGTGCTCGAAGTATTGCATTTTCATGTTCTAACATGCTGGCACGTAAAGCAATCTGTAACAATTAGAATTAATTAATAATAAATATAATATTCCAAATATTCATTAAAAACTTATAAATAGAAATACTAATTGATTAAATTAAATTTGATGCAATGATATTTTAAATAATTTAATTTATTATATCCGTACATGATTGATGTTTCTAAATACCATGAACAATAGGATTAATCTGATTTTATGTTATGATTTTATACACATAAACTTTAAAAATACAAAAAATTTTATTCAATTTATACATTAATTAATTAATATACTTCTGAACATAATGCGAGTAATGAAAAGTTTTTAATCTAGACACTACAGTTATATAAAATTGAAGGTAGGAATCAGAGGAGAGAAAAAAGTAGTTATTTACTTTGGAAAAGATCAGATAATAAAGTTGGAGTAACTTATTATTTACAAAAAAAAGTAACTGTACAATCAGTGGAGGGCCTTTGTTTTAGTACTTAGTACCAAAATAAAGGAGACTTTTATTAATCTTTACTGCGCACATTATTGCAACATAGATAACCAGGCAATTTTCGTATCCTTTGAATACATAAAACTTCTTTATCATTATATATATTATTTCTGAAAGTTCGGTACGTACAACTTCGTCAATTCTTCATCTACTCCAATGATTGACCCATCATTAAAATATATTCTCCTTCAGGTGGGAAAAGTAGTAACATCTTCCCGAAATTTCAGAGAAAAGACTTATGAAGGATAAGAAACTTTATTTGTGAAAAACTCGAAAAGTATATATTTTTTGTTGATTTGAACCATTATCATTTGAAAGATTACTAAATTCCCTACAGTTAAAGAGAAATAAATAAATAAAAAAATCGTTGAAATGTTAGAACATTAGTAGCTGAGATGCAGGCTATTCTAAACATTTTGGTTTAAAAGATGAAGGAAGTTTTTTTAAGTAATTAATTTTTTAAATAATTGTGAAGTAATTTTTTTCCTTAATCGATCACAATTACCCAAAAAATTAGGAATAAAAAAAATAGGAAATGATTCCTTCATCTTATTTGTTGACTTATTTATCTTCTTATTTGTTCACTGAGCAATATTCTTTGTGAATTATTCCCACGGACCAACTAGTAAATTTAAAAAATCTATATAAATCTACCTTTATACCTGATCTTCTCTTAGTCTTCTTGCATCTCTAGACTTTTTAGCCGCTTGATTGTTACGTTTTCTCCTCTCGTAGTATCTTTCGTCTTTCTGTTCTTCTGGAATTGGCTTCTTTTCACTTCTTGGTCTTCTTGGAGAACCAATACTTCTGAAAGCTAAAATTTATTATATAAGTAAATTTTATAAAATTATACTTCATCATCGACAAAGTATACAATGGCTTAACTATTATATAAAGAAAAGTAATATGTACCTCCACCTCTCCCTTTATTAAAATGTTGTTTTAAAAGTTCTAGTCATTTACAGTAACGATAAATCAATAATTCACCACTGTGACGATGTACTTCGGTTATGTTTCTTTTAGTTGGTAATAAGGTTCCTGTAAGTTTGACTGGTCTTTCAACTATTTTTACGAAACTATCGGCTATTAATTTTCAATGAATGGACTGTGATGAAGGTTAAAAAAAAAAAATACTAAATAGCTGCTCTAATATTAAAGAAAGCAGTTTGCCTGATAATGGTCGCTGAGGAAGAGGTCCATCATAACTGCTCTCCCATTTACAGGTAGTTTGAAGTCGAAAAGAGATCAAACTTCTCTCTCATTAGCTGTAATTGACTCGGTATTATATGGAACTTTTGTAATGGCGAGGGATGTAAAATCGTTTATCCTCGAAACTACAGCAATTAAAAGTTGGCCGTTTTGGTGTACCATCTATAATAAATAACGACAATCGTTTAGTTCCTCCCCGGAGAAGAAACGTTTCGTGTTGGAAAATAATTTTATTCTATATTTATATGGTTTAGTTCTATTTTCATTATAATCTTAAAATATTGAAAAAAATTATAAAAAATATTGGAGATAAAATTAGAACAGTGAGACACGAATTTACATTCGATATACACGTGACGAACAAGCGCTGAGAATATGCTCCTATCTATATGCATTTTTACTTTCCTACCACCACTAGGCAAGAAAAGTATTGCAATCAGGCCAAATTTCCGATGTGTGGTTTTCAATTACCTTTACGTTTCAGAGCCCTCTGGGTAGTGTTGCCCAAAATCTGACTGTTGTAAGACCAAGACCGGTAAAAAAAAAAAAATTGGTTTTTGTGATTAAAAAGTAAGGCAAAATAGTCACCAATACTTGACAATTTGAGTTAATATATGTAAATAATTGGTATAGCCAATATAACTTTGTATTTAACTCTTCCTATTTTCAATCCTAGCTTAGTTAGGTTTGGATTATCTGAAAAATTACAATAATATATCTATAGTAATAGGCTAATAGATAACTGCAAGACTTTTGCGAGACTGTTGCGCAGGGCCGAGACCAAGACTGACTGCACAAGAACTTGACTCATCTTGGTCTCGCATTTGGGTAACTACCCGTGAGTTCGAAAAACAAATTTTCAGTTTTTGGTCTGTCTGTTTTTTTCAAGATTATCTCAGGAACCAGTGGGCCGATTTTTTTGTTTCTTTTTTTGTTTTGTGTGGATTTGACTACTGATGCATGTGACATAAATTGGATACTTTCACCGCAATAACGGCTTTAACGATTTTGATGAAATATTCCCATAGTTTTCTACCTAACGTCCTTTCAATTTTCGTACTTGCAAAAGGTCACGCTACCACTGCCGTTTTAGCTTCTGGGGAGGATTGTAGGGGTGGATGGTGCCAGATAGGGACTGTGCTACGGGATTAGGGTGATGGGTAAGGTTTGATGTTAGAAAATTTAGTTGTCCCCCACAGTTCTAGTCCGTAGGTCCAGATGGATTTTAGTATTGTCTAGTAGATCAGTAGTTTGTTTTCAATAGAAAGTTTAGATTTTCTATTAAGTAGTCTATATAGCTGGCCATAACGTCGGTTAAGTTCCTGTTTTTTCAGTCTAGTATGCGGATTCCACGTTAGTCGTCTGTCTAGGAGAAAACCAAGGTACCGGACTGTGTCGGAGAAGGGGAGCTGGATGCAATTAAAGTAAACTGGTGGACAGGAATTACAACGAAGGGTGAAGGTTATATGTTTACATTTATTCATTGACTTTGATGCCCCATTTCTTGCACCAGCGTTCAATGGTAAATCTTTAAAGACTTTTTTTTATAAATGTAATTAAATCACTTAGAAAAATTCATCGGTATCGAACTAGTATTAGCAATGATACAGCGTATTCTATTGTCTACAAATTTTATAATTCATTACATTCCTATCACTACTAGGTAAGGAAGGTATTGCGATCGGGTCAAGTTTCCGATGAGGCTTTCTACTGATCTTTGCTTTTCAGTCCTCAGAGTCCGAAAACTATGAATATCAGTTTTGCAGTAGAACGCGTGAAAAATATTTATAAATACATATCTTTGCGAAATGTCTGATTTCAATGATTTTTTAAAAGGAAATTTCGTAAACTTTTAAATGACCAAATACAACATCAAACAAAAAAAATTATACTTTGTGATTTCTTCGAAAACCTAACTTCATCATTGCAACTTGTAACTTTATACAGAAGTACGTTATACACGTAAATTTAAAAGACTTCAAGGATAATAATTTAGCCAAGTTTCATTGAAATCGGTACATCGTTACTTCTGTACGGCACAGATTAACTTTCAAATATGTTTTTATGTATTTCGACCTTATCTATCTATAATAAAACACCATAGGTACATGCAAATGACACACATCTTTTTATTCATCATATATAATTACAATAACAAATCTGGTGCGCGCAACACACAACTTTCACTTACTGCTCTCCTTTGAATAGAAATTATTCTCTGGGATTATATATAGAAATTATTACACAATGAAATGGCATTTTTAACCATTTCATGGTCTTGATTAAGTGGATTTTAAATACTTTTTTGAAACTTAAAAGAATTAAAAGTTTAAATTTAGTTAGTAAATTCCATGTAATTGAAAACATGTGATTTCCGTTAAATAATATTAGTTTTCACAAATTATTATAAATAATTCTCCATTAACTTCTATATTAGATACACTAATTTTCTATATTAGATATTGTTTTTTCTGAAATTCTCCGTTATCCAACGATATATTATACGTATACCTTTTTATAAGTATTTCTGGAGATTTATTTTCGACCTTAATAAACATTTTCTATTTTTCAGTTATCGAATTATTTCAAAAGTTATATTTAGCATTTTTTCGGCAACTTTTAACGATAATAGATCGTTAATTATTTAAAATACACCAAATTAAAGGTACTTTAGAGGAAGACAAGTTAATCACTGGGCATTTATGCGCTGTAAAGTAACATCAATGGGTATAAGCCCTAAATAATATTAAATATTACTTAATTATAGTATAATTATTATACACAATGATACACCGAGTTTAATCAAAACTGTTAGAGCCGTTTTTGAGAAAATTGTAAAAATGTGAATAACCGTTGATATAAAGTGCCACTTCTGGTTAACCAATTTAATGAAAAAGTTGCCTTCTTAAATACGTAATATAAGTTTCGTACGACTTTTCGTTTTTGAGCTAGACTGTTCACGTACACACACACACACTTTTTCGGGATGGTTATTTGGATTCCGGGAACCTCAACACGTGCATTTCCGTTGGAAATTCAGATTCCAAAATTTTCACAATCGCAATACTTTCTCTTATTATATATTTAGGTAAGTGAAAGTAATATGTAATTTTCTAATTTCACAAGGATAAATTCAACACAGTGTTTAATTATTCAAGGTTATAAACCAGCAATTTATTCTGCAGCTCAATTCCTTAAGAACTTACCTTTAAAAGAAATTGAAAATCTAAATCCACCTTGGATCCACAAACCTCCAAAAACGATACTCCGTCTCTCTACATTACCCAAAAGCAATATCTCACCATTCGAGTAGAAAACCGAATTCTCCCGTCACCTATAAACTATCCCGGAACCATTTTAAATTTATACTGACGGTTCAAAATCCGCCGATGCTAAAGCCTCTTCCCATAACTTGACACATAAAATAAAACTTCATAAATTAAGCAGGAAGTATACAGCGGAACTTCATGCAAAAGTCTCTGACCTTGAATTCATTAAAAGGTTTGAATAACATGTACCCAAAACATTCAGTTATCCTAAAAATACACAAATATCTTCATATTCTAAAATGTGGGAAAATCTGTTTGCTTAATATGGGTCACCAATCACATGGGGATAGTTGGTAACGAGCTTACAGACACGGCAGCCAAACAAGCACTCGCGCCCACCCCTGTGGAGTTGGCCCCCAATCCTCAATTTTTTTTCAGGTTTTTGAGAGTTCTTATTACCCCCCTAAGAGTTCTAGAGTTCCCTATACTTTTTAGAAATAATTCTATTGCTTAAACCACCGAAAATACCACACAAAGTTACGAAAAATGAAATCCCGTTTTGTGCAACTTACGAGTCTTATAACTCCTTTAATATTAATTTTAGAGCTAAACTTCATTAGGATAATTGTTTAAAATCCTTGGGGGATATAAAAACTGTTTAAAAAAATCCAATTAAGTCCCCCACAAAAAACCAGCCCTCCCAAAGTGAAAATTTCTATATTATTTTTGGAGTTCTAATAGCCCCCAAATATTTCCAGAGTTCTCTGCTGTTTATAAAAAAATTCAATTATTTAAACTACCTAAAATACCACTCAAAGTTACGAAAAACTGAAATCCCGTTTTGTGCAACTTACGAGTCTTATAACTTCTTTAATATTAATATTATTTCCTTGGGAGCTATAAAACTCTAAAAAAAAAAACAATATAGGCCCCCCACAAAAAATTGCCCCCCCCCGCAAATTTAAAATTTCTAAATTCTTTTTGGAGCTCTAATAACCCTTCAAATAGTTCCAGAGTTCTCTGGTATTTAAAAAAAAATTCTATTGTTTAAGCAACCGAAAATACCACGCGAAGTTACGAAAAACCGAAATTCCGTTTTGTGCAGCTTACGAGTCTTATAACTCTTTCAATAATAATTTCATAGCTAAAGTTAATTAGAATAATTGTTCAAACTCCTTGGGGACCATCAAAACTCAAATAAAAAAGAAAGATTGATTTTTCCAAAGTGCCCCCCCCCCCCAAAAAAAAGGAAAATATTCTTAATTATTTTTGGAGTTTTGATAGCCCCCCTAATAATTCTAGAGTTCTCTAATATTTTTTAAAATTAATGTAAATAATTGTTAACAATATAATGACTGTGAAATGTGAATGGCATTGATCATATGGAGTGAGATTTACGAAGTATTAGGTCGATTCCAAACGTTACTGAAATGGTACGTTGTGCAGTTAATTAGATTTCGTTTAATTTTTAGTAAATTTAAATAGATTTTTACTGTTTTAGTTTGTATAAAAGAGTCTTATTTGTGATTTTGTGAATTTATATTGAAGTTCAACCACCTTGTCGGTCTCGATTTCCTCCTCAAATATCAAAGTTAAATGAACTTTACACATATCTTTATATTCCAGATTAATAAGTTTTGTTTTAACTGAGAGGAAATATTGGTCTAGTTAACACCGAACAAACAAAAAGTTTAATTTTTCCAATAGATTTTTTGTTCCACCATTTTACTAGTGAAACTTACCTATTAAGTATGGCTACTTCCTATTTTTAAAAAATTATTATTTTTAACCTATCAGTGCTAAAGGTAATATTTTGTAGTATGCAACTGATAGAAGCAGTTTGTACGACGGAAAATAGCAGAGAGTAATAAAATGTGAAATTATACTAATAAATCATAAAAAAAAAAACAATTAGTTTTTATGCTCTCCTGTAAAACACTCAAATTTACATACGGTCTTTTGTACTAACATTAGTGATATTGTTCAGTATGGAGTGAATTTTTTTTTTTTACATTAAGAATCATCGAATATGTAATCTGCAAATGCAGAGCTCCGTAAACGGCTTCTTCCAAAGATTTTATTCTCATACGAAAAAAAATGATACCTTGTAATATAGATATTTATTTAGCCAATGAAAACGGTGAGGAAGCTATACTGACCCTACTTGGCAAACATTTTTTGTTTCCTCATCGCCATAGACTGACTTTCCTTGAAGTTCTGTACTGTATAACGAATGTTACTACTATTCTTGAAAATTCGTTTATTTTAATTGTTGCTACAATCAATGATTATGTCAGTGTAATTATTGTGGGAATTCGAAAAACATAAAGAGGATTTTAGTTCTTTTTGCTATAGGCATTGTTGAAAGAAGCTAAATTAATATATTTATATCTAAAGAACCATCAGGTTCCAACGAATCTCCACTTTTAGGTTAATTATTTAATTCATGCATTTAACACATAGTGTTTGATGGGGATAACCGTGTGGTGCTTATTGCAATTGTTTCAAATTAATATGTATTTAGTGTCGTGATTCATTGTACTTAAAAAATGATTTTGTTTTGTAGGTATTTATAGTTTTAAAATCTAATGTATTATTTAATTTGAAATAGTAATTAATACACTCTATAGTGTATCTGCAGCTAACACTTAACAAGATTATAAATCAGTTTTTAAGTAATATATATATATATATATATATATATATATATATATATATATATATATATATATATGATATTTTTTTTTCTCATGTTGACTTGATATTCATGGTTTAATTTTATCTATATTATATTCATCATAGCCTGTATATCTTTACAACATCTTAATAAAGTTTGTTTATTTAAACTACATGAAATATTTTTTTTTTTTTTTATTCTATGTAACTAGATTTTGTTATTTGAGAAAAAATTTCTTTTGAAATATAGTATGTATTTATTTGGTAATTATTCAATACAACTTTTTATTTTTAATACAAAACTTGCATAATCCAGATTTTATTTTTATAAATCCATTGTACATCTTATGAATGTTACCGTAAAAAGTACCTAAAGGAATGAAAGAATAAAAAGATTGAAATCAATTTATCGACTTGAAAAGTAGCAAGTCGTACTATTTTAGGTTATATTTATTTATTTTAGAAATGTGTATCATTCAGAGAGATTTTCTAATCACGAAGATGGATAATAACAATCATTTTACTCCATCCAGACTTTTCTTTCCGCAGTAACACTCTGAGAATAATCTAACTTTAATGATTAAAAAAAGAAAAGTAATATCAGGTAAGTTGAAGCTCAAATTTGTTATTTAGAACATCTATATGGTCCTGAGCATCTGTGGCTCTAGTGCCCTCCTCAGTGACGCGGATGGAAGAGAAGCACTGGGATCTCCCGGAGTCCTGATTTGTCTTTCGCTTTTGGAGGAGAAAGCTTGGCTCGGAGTTTCCTGGGCGAATGTAAATATTGTATGTAGGAATGAATGTGTTAAGACGATTTATTTTATTTTTACTTATTGATTTATTTTTTATTTCATTTATGTTTGTTATTCTATTTTTATATTTCCTTTTCCTAGTTTAATCATTTATTTTTTATTTATTAGTTTTTTAATTTTTATTTTTTATTTCCATATTATACGTATATATGGTATGAACGAACACATTTAGCCCTGTTACTTATTGACCTTCAATATGGCAGATTGTACTATTAAAATAAAGTACATTAAAAAAAAACAAAAAAAAAAAAAAAACATCTATACTTATATTTGAGATAAATTTTTCTTCAAAAAGTTGCTAGATTCAGATTCTAAGTGGTCGGATAATATAAGAATGAACAATATGTTAAAGTAGGGTTATACCGTATAGTGAGTTTCTTTTCTTAAGGTTTTTTAAAATTTAAAGAAAGTGCATATTTTGAATCTGATTCCTGGATAAGAGCAGTTTCGCACATCTATAATTGGGGATACACAAAAGATTAGCCTGACGTTATGGTTACGGTCTGATGAATAATGACCTATTACACGTTTCCTTAAATCGAGAATAAGAATAAGTTTAACTTGGAAGGGCCTACCTTTCAGATCAGGCTGGGGCAGAGGCAAGAGGGGGGCCGCGTAGTGGTGGTGCGGGGGCGGCAGGTACAGCGGGGGTGGGCCCCCCAACTGCTGGAACGCCTCCATCCCCCCGCTCCTCTCCAGGTTGCATTCTCCTGCAACAATTCAAAATATTTAAAATGCTTAGAATGGAATATAAAGAATAGAAAATAATTTTATTCTAGGACGAAGTCCCTTTAGAATAACAAAAAAGTACAAAATTAAAGTATTATATCTGGCCTAAGTAAAAACAAAGATAGAAAGTAAAAAAAAAGGAAGAAAAAAGTAAAGAAAATATTAGTTAAACATACTATGTACAAAATAAAAAAAAATCTATATTCAAAACACTTGAAACCATGCCAAGACACTTAAAACTATGTACAGTGGTAAAATATAAGTATAAACTTTATAAAAAAATAAATAAAAAATACATTACATTCTTCTTAGCAATAAACTCTGTGCTTCTGCATAAAAAAAAAAAGAAGACGAATCTGATAGTAAGTATTTGAGTGATGAATAATATGTACAAATAAATAAATAAATTCAACACAGTTTTTTAGATTCAGATACTAAATGGTCAGAAAATATAAGAATTAACAATATGTTAAGGTAGTGTTATACCCTATCGTGCGTTTCTTTTCTTAAGACAAATTTTTAAAGAAAGATGATATTTACTATGATATTTAAGATGGTATTTTGAAACTAATTCCTAAAAAAGAGCAGTTTCACACATCTCTAATTGGGGATTTTGAAACTAATTCCTAAAAAACAGCAGTTTCACACATCTCTAATCATGTGAATTATGTGAATCATTTTGAATAATATGTAAATTTACATAGAAGATTAGCAGGGGGATGTCTGACTGTTTTTGGGATAGAAATCGGAATAGGAGGGTTTTAAATGTAGATAATAATAATAATTATAATAATTCTTTATTTATTCTGGGACAAGTCCCTTTAGAATAATACATAAGGACAGTAATGAGGGCTAAGGAGCCTCAGAGATACATAAAAAAATGTTGAGTAATGAAATAGTCATATTAAAAAATTATAAGTTACTTTCTAACTTAAATAAGTTAATAATAAAAAAATTGAAAATAAAGTAAAAATAGTGAAGAACAATATAATAATTTATATACATATTTACAGCGGTATCTATTTAAAAATTTATGGAGACTGGATGGATAAGAAATGATTTAACAGGCGGGATTTAAAAGTGGAAAGGGTATTGGATTGACGGATGTGGGAAGAGATGGAGTTCCATAAGGATGAGGATCGGATAATGAACAATCTGTCGAAAGCAGCGGTTCGGTGGACCCTTATGTGTAGATAGGGTGGAAGAATGCCGAATTTTGGTAGGAAGGGAATTTCAGAAATTAACAGAGCGAACAGTAAACGAGTTTTGAAACGAGGCGGATCTGTTAGAAGGAATGTAAAGGTCGGAAGGTCGAGATCTTTTGAAAAGGAAGTGGATTGAGGACTTGAATTGGAGAAGTTTTTAGGCGAAAGAAGGACGATGATTGTTGATGATTTGATAGAGGAGCGTAACTAGGAAATATTGTCTTCGAATGGAGTGGAAGAGCCACTTTAACTCAGTGTAGTGGTGAGACACTTGGGAGTATCTCGGGGTACCAATTACAAATCTTACTCAGCTATTCATAACTCTTTTCAGTTTATCACAGAGCTCCACTGAGAGTCCATCATACAAAGCTGTGGTCAAAGTGGAGGAAGATGAGAGAGGAAACCAGAGGTCTACGCGTATGTTGAGGTAGGAGATGGTGGAAGCGATGGAATTCCAGAAGAGGGTTTGATCAATGAAAAATCCTACATTTTTGACAGAGTAGTAGAAGGAGATTGCTTAGTTATAATTTCTAAAGTAAAAACAATAACACTACAATAATTGAATTTAAAAATACTCCTTCTTGTCGATCTTACAAAATCTTAAGGATTTAGTTATTAATAATCAATAAGATGAGCTAGGAGTGGCGATCAAGAATATCATCAACAAGTATTTATTTAATGCTGAATAGTGGGTGTTCAATAAATTAATATATATAAAGTTTTCCAAAAAATTTCTATTTCTAAGAGTATACTTATCTAAATATCACTCCGTCATTGTCGTTCTGTTTCTAGATATTCTTTGCTTACTGCTGGACTGTTTTTTATGAATAATTTGTAGTGATCAGTGCAGCGGTTAGTAGCTATATGTTCCTATTACAAAGTATTATTAAATGCAAAAGTTTCATCATTTACCAATCAGTCTCTTTTATGACACTCAAATTCAAAACTCGCCAATAGTGAATTTAGGCCGTTTTTGAAAATTCAAATCTATAATATGAGAAAGTTTACGAGATCGAAATTTCACCAGCAAGAAGTACAGTAATAGGACTATATGAAAAAATTAAAGTTGATATTTTTCTCATTATTACAGTTTTGAAAAGTTATCTATCTCGTTTTATGTTAATTTTCATTTTACAGTTGTTAATTTTTTTAACATTATTTTCTACTACTTACGGGATGCATTGTAAAAACAGAACATTTAGAGCAAAACGACGCCATAATTTTAGTTTTTGTTTTGATATCTGAAAAAATGCCAAAGTTAGAGTATCCAGACATCGACACTCAGGTATAATCCATAGGAAGCAATATTTATTGCACTATAACTTATAGAACCAGTTGAGTCTCAGTGACAAAATTATTATCACGCGTTTCTATCCTTAAGAGGTATAAACTTCATAATTTTTCACCTAGTCCCCATTGGATTATTCAACATCAAATATCATTTTTGGCCGTTTTTGAAAATTCATATTTAAAAAAAAATAAGATTGAAATTTCATCAGTAAATAGCATGGTGGTAGAACTAAATATGAAAAAATAAATAAAGTTGAGACTCTTTTTATTTTCATATTTTTCAGCTTTAAAAGTCTCCTTTTGCATCTATTTTCACGATTTTTTTTAAACCGATTTCTTTTATTTTTAGGTAATGTATTGATAAAGATAAATGTACAAAAAAAGCTTAGATGCGTGCTTGATACCACACAATAGAAGTGAAAACATCAAAAAGGAGAGATTAATAATATAAAATATAAATTTTAAATAATAGTTCATTATAAAGAGGATAAAACGTTGAACGTTTCTCTCTCTTACAGTACGCAGGTCCGATTTTTAGTTTCTGAGATATTTTAATCCATATTTTCAATAAAACTCGTTATAATTTGGTCTTCATCACTAATTTTCCCTTTCGCCTCTTTAACACGGCGTCGCGTTAAGGTACAATTTCAAGTAATAGCTCATTACAAAGAGGTTGATAAGGTGAACATTTTCCTCACTATCAATATGCAGGTCCGATATTTATTTATAATATATATTTATATAATATATTTATTTATATTTATATTTATTTTATATTAATCCGATATTTTCGAGATATGTTAATCCATTTGAAAACACTCCCCCTAGCCGACTTTACCCGGTCGTTAAACATTGGAACCCTGACGGCTCAATCTAATACACTCTCCACAAAAAAGTTTAAAAGGCGCCTAAAGAAGTTTTCAGTTCAAAAATATTCTAAATCAATCCAATTTTTATTTTGGTTAGATATATACAAAATATATACCTTACTCGTAATAACTGTCCTGTACATCTACTTATAATTTATTTTATTTATTATTTTTATAGGGAAAACAAATATGCCACAGAACAAAAACCGTAACATTTTAATAATAAAACAGTAATACAAAAAAAAATCATTATCATACTTCCATTGAATTATCTACACTATTTATAATACGGTAGTAGAGATTCCTTTTTTGGCTCTCCATAGCTATGGATTTTGTTAAATAAGAGATCAAACGGAAGAAAATCTTTCGAAAAAAACTGACGAATCCCAATGTCGATTCTTGAATCTCTTCAACAACGTTAATTAAATTCATTGAGATAACTGGTGGGTTTCAAAACTCAGATGGTTTTGACCCCTGAGTACTTACATCACCTCTGTCCATCAAAAAACGAGAAGATTTCGATGGTATAGTGGGGCTCCAAAACTCAGCTCCATAAGTCCAAATAGGTCTTATTATAGGCATGTTTGTCTGCCCTAACCACCCCTAAGCAGGTCCGATTTTTAGTTTCTGAGATATTTTAATCCATATTTTCAATAAAACTCGTTACAATTTGGTCTTCATCACTATTTTTCTCTTTCGCCTCTTTAACACGGCTTCGCGTTAAGGTACAATTTCAAGTAATAGCTCATTACAAAGAGGTTGATAAGGTGAACATTTTCCTCACTATCAATATGCAGGTCCGATATTTAGTTTTTGGAGATATGTTAATCCATTTGCAAAAACACTTGAGTTAGTCGACCCTAGCCGACTTTACCCGGGCGTTAAACATTGGAACCCTGACGGCTCAATCTAATTCAATCTCCACAAAAAGTTTAAAAGGCGCCTAAAGAAGTTTTCAGTTCAAAAATATTCTAAATCAATCCAATTTTTATTTTGATTAGATATATACAAAATATATACCTTACTCGTAATAACTGTCCTGTACATCTACTTATAATTTATTTTATTTATTATTTTTATAGGGGAAACAAATATGCCACAGAACAAAATCCGTAACATTTTAATAATAAAACAGTAATACAAAAAAAAAATCATTATCATACTCTCATTGAATTATCTATAATATTTATAATATGGTAGTAGAGATTCCTTTTTTGGCTCTCCATAGCTATGGATTTTGTTAAATAAGAGATCAAACGGAAGAAAATCTTTCGAAAATGTGAAGAATCCCAATTTCGATTCTTGAATCTCTTCAACAACGTTAATTAAATTCATTGAGATATTTGGTGGGTTTCAAAACTCAGATGGTTTTGACCCCTGGGTACTTACATCACCTCTGTCCTGCAAAAAACGAGAGGATTTCGATGGTTTAGTGGAGCTCCAAAACTCAACTCCATAAGTCCAAATAGGTCTTATTATAGTCATGTTTGTTTGTCTAGTAAGCGCTGAAGGAGTCGGAAACGTCGAGCGGTTTCTTGTCGTTTCAGTCAGGTATGAAGATTTCAAGTTAGACGTTTGTCCAGATGGAGTTGTAGGTATCGGATTTGTTCAACAGGG